TTATATAACACATGAAATCATGTTACTGCAAAATATGGGAATCATTTTGCATAGAGATTTCTTTTGAAATACAATGCAAGTTCCTTCAAAATATCAACATTTGTTGAAGACATAAGTTGTAGTTTTTCACAGGAAGGATAGCGATGAAAATATTTTGGAATGAATTTATTTCTGCTACTATTATAGTAAGGACAACCCAAAATGAAATGAAATTCATCGACAGCCACAGTGTCACACTTATCACATATTAGGGCAGATCGGTCAACGCTTTCTTTACTTTTCTTACTCTTAATATTTTAGTGTCAAACATTTTAGTTACTGTTTTTATCAGAATATTTACTGACTATACTAAATATATAAATAAATAAATAAAACACGCTTTCCTGACTTGCAAAGCAATAGTTTCACATGCTTGTTACCCATCCTCGATAATCTCCAGGGTATACGTTACGATCACTCTCCACTATACCCTGGATGCATCCACGGCTTGGGGCGATGATTTTATTACCTCCCTTGGCTGGCTCCGTATTCTCACAGTAGCCAATCGGCTAAGCCGCCGTTACAACCGAGCTTGCCAGTGTCAACAAAGATTGCGGTCGCAGTCGCAAAAGTTTGTTCGCAGCGCCACTCAGATTTTTTGGGAAGTAATATAGACAAATTCACAGATCTGAAACTTTAAAAAAAATATATGAAAGAACTCCTTCTTCTTTCAGAGTACCTCTGCATCAATTGTGTTGCCAAGTTTAAACGGTTAGATAATTTAAGACGTGAAAGTGAGTAGTGATTGGTGACTTTCCAGCGTAGGCACCGGACTGGATAAAAAGCCAGCCAAGGGAGGTAATAAAATCATCGGCACAAGCCGTGGATGCATCCAGGGTATAGTGGAGAGTTATCGTAACGTATACCCTGGAGATTATTGAGGATGGCTTGTCACCATACTAGTCTAGAAGTGAATATTATACAAATGTATTTATACTGTGTAATTACTGACATCTGCATACCTCTGTAGAACCATTTTTCAACCTTTTTAAGATAACCATCATAAACAATGATTTTTTACATATATAAATTTACTTCCATGCCCTTGCACATGCACACATGTTTTTGATTACTTGAAATAATTGACCATTGTTTGGCAGAGGAAAAACAGATCATAGTTGCTGACAAATTTGATAAACTCAGAAACGTTCAACTTAGAAAAAAGTCTGTTAATGTTCCATGAACATAGTTTTAAAACTGAGTTCTCACAATCCAGTGTGATTTTTTGTGTGTCTCTATACCACTGATACTTGTATGAGCCGGAGATGGACCACGGCCGAGTTAATTTATCAACTGAGCATATAAAATATATATAAGATATATAAAATATATTCATTAATTCTATCACTGCGTTTTGTCATTCTTTTACTCCGACATGGTTGCTAAAGCCTGTCTGATCACAATATATGGACTATCCCATACCCACTTCACCTAATCCTGAGTAATCAACCAGGCCCAAACTCACCAATTGAGCATTTTGTTGATGCAGACTATGGCTCATCTGGACTAAGTGTTATCAAAACACTAACCCTAGTCAGCCAAATCCCACTCTGGCTATTTGAGGAACCTGTTTTGACAGAATCTGGTTAAGTGAGAGGACAGAATAAAGGATGGAGGCTTCATTTCCTTTCCCAGAGATGGGAAGTCTTAAACGACCCATATTTAAGGCTACTTGCCTCTAGGCAGGAGACCTATTGTAATCGTTTGGATTATTATTATTATTATCCGCCGATTTTTGTACCAAACATACCTCCTAAATCAATGCTCCGAATCACTTACAAAAAATCACACAGATGCCCACCGAGGCTCTAGGCCTGATAGCAAAGGGGAGATAATTCAAAATTAATTCCAAAATTTCAAAGTTTGACAGCAAGTATCTCAAGAACTAATTGTTCCAACACTTCCAAATCTCTTGTACGGATGCACAATCAAATTACCAACAATTTTGCCAGGACAGACCAAGTCGCTAAAAGGTCAGTTTGGCAGTTATTTTTGTTTTCAGTTTTTGGCCATGTTTGTCAACAGTTTTCTGAGTAGTTTGCTCCCAAAATGTGCTGAGCTCCAACTATCAGCTCTAGACATGCCAAACTTTCCATAACTGATGTTCAGTGACCATTGTGCAAATTCTGCACAAAAAGTGCCAGTATGGTAGATGAAGTCTTGGTGAATCCAGAACACTAATTGTTTTGACCGTAGACCCAAGAACAACTGAGATACAGCCTTTTAAAGAGGGGACTATTTCTTCTCCAGAACTTCTTAAAAGGTACCACACTCTGGCACAGCGATGACTTAACATAACATCACTGCCACAGGCTAATTTGCATATCACGTGACCAGACTTTTCTCTTGTTTGTAATCAAACGTGCATATTAATAATAAGAAGATACTGGACTCATGAAAGCTTTTCGGCGTTCTCTTCATAATGTTTTACATTGTTGCATATATATTCTTCCACAACTGTGACAGTAAGGTCTATGACAGTACATATTTAGATATCAAACTGGCTGCATCGTTTGCTCTCTGTCGGCTTCGATGACAGCACGTGGAGCCGTACAACCTATGTAAACAAAGGGTCGCTACGCAAATCGAAATAGTGTTACATGTTTTGGGATATTTTCTTAGTGAAACTAAACCATTCTATTAAAGATGTTTAGTTAGATGTGTAGACTTGTCAAAAATAAGAGTAAAAGAAATCTGTGCATTATATTGAATGGACATTGCAAGATGTGACGAATCGTCATATTTTTCTGGCCTGTGGCAGAGGTACTATGCTGGCTTGCCGCATGGAACTCTGGGTAGGAGAGTGAAAGGTACATGACCCCGGCTGTATTTGGAAGATCTGCTCGCCTGTCAAAAACGTGTTCTGGCTCCGTTTTGGATGATGATTGCTAGCCCTCAAATACAATAGATAGAACTAAAGCCAAGGAGCCATCATCGTTGCTTGCAACTATATTTACACAGCAAGAGGATCATGGATCAAATTGCTGAAAAGCATGTGCAAATATTGTGCATGTGAACAGCTGTTTTGTTGTAAAGTTTTGTTAAGAAATCGCCAATTTTCAATGATTTTTATCATTTACTGAACTCATGACAATAATCTTTTCAACGTTACGAATTTGTTTTACAATACATCAGTTCATTTGTAAACAGTACCTTCAAACAGTATGGAATATCTTCCAAAATTTAGTTTGGGAACAGTTGCCTGAAGTTAGTGGCTATATTTACACTAGTGAGACTAAACTTTTGAAAGGAAGTATATAACAGGATGAATTCTGATGCAGTGATCGGAACAATCTAGTATCTGAAACTAATATTTTATGAAGAGAAATATATTCTAGCATTGCATCATTTCAATTGTAGGTTTTGTTCTATAAATATAAAATATTTATAATCATAACTAAGGTTATGAGACAGCATGTTGGTGTAATGCCGGATAGTTTTTGTGCATGGAACAATTTGACCTGTCACAGATGAAGTTTCGAGCGATCTCATTATTTCCATTTCCACCGCGAAAACAGTTTTTTGATATGTGATTGTCCAGCTACACTAAATATGACTTAGCGAAACAATATGTATACGTGTCCATTTTCTGTTAACTACACTTCATTTCGAGGCACGAGTAGATGCAATATGATAGTGATTGCTGTGAATAATGCAGGCTGAAGTTATCGGACACACAATTTCTTTGCAGCTAATAGAAACATTCTTTTACATTAGTAGTATCAGGATAGATCATCTCTTGTGGCGATACATCGATGTATCATGGACCCTTGCGGTATAAATATCCTGATATATTGCCTAAAGGTGTTTTGTGTTAATGCACTTTCGTATCGCGTAGTTGACGATGCAAACATCAATACTATCGATGAATTGTTACACCACTAATGATGACACTCTTGGTTCAATAATTTCTGAGAAACCTTTCTTTGCATGTGCTATATATCATTTGACCCTTTATTAATGATGCCTGGTATATATCATTCGTTGCCAGTTACTGTCGCATGTTTGGGTGTTGGTTAGGGTCTGTTTACATAGCAGAGTGGTTAATCATAGACTCTCAAAGTCAATCTGCTTTAATCACTCTGCTATGTAAACACACCCTTGCCCTTATTGTAAATACAAACCCTATCATTGTATTCTGCTCTTTGATCTCACTGCATTGTTTGTACATACTTAATTATATCTCCTTTTTCCTTTCGCTTGTATATACCCAATTTACATATCTGGCTTCCTGTACATCTATATATATATTGTACTGTTCACTATCACCATTATCCACCTGAAGAAGGGGAAAGAACCAGCCCAGAAACGTGAAAAATAAATCAAGAAGTTGTTATCCAATAGATTTGTCTTGTATTAGATAGGTCTGATTGTGAATTCATGCCGTTTGGTAGTTTTGGATTTCTGAATGAAATGTTTTTGCATTTCTATGGCAACAAATTTAACTTTGACTGAAATTGATGTTAGTGCTCCTTTCTGGAGCTGAACTGAAAAGCCTTTCAATACTCTCCTTCAACATTGTGGGTATCCAAGACCCTAGTTACATAAATCAACAGTACCACTATATTTCCAGTATCAACATTACTAAGGTACATCAATCCATACATTTGATATAGTCATAACTAGTTGACATATTCATGAAGAGTATTATACCATTGCGGGGGATATTGAAGACTGTGTTCTTGTTTGATCTTAAGATGTTTTTGATTAAGATCAGGCTCTGGAAGTCATTTTTAGATAAAGTACATCATTGGTTGTACTTTGAGGAAATGGGCATGACAAAAGTACTTTTTAACGACCCAAGTAAGACTTGAAGTGAGGTCATTACCATACTGATGTCTTTAGTTTCCACTAAATGTCAACTTGAGGTAAGGAGTCTTGGTCTGGTTTCAGATAAAGGTAAAGTTATGTCTTATATGCACTTTGGTATCTTAGAATTTTACAGTTTACTTATTTTACAGTTTCTTATTGGCTACAATCGTGGACTAATTGTGTTGTGGGACAACAAGGAGAGCAATGCTGACAAGACATACAACGCAACACAGGTAGGGAAGATGAAGATGATAGCATGCTGGCAATCTTAGCTTATCTTGCTTCAAGTCACTCAAATTCTAGGTATGAAAAACTAGTCTTGTACACGGCGATATGCTGTATGTTACCTGTATGTTACAATCATTATTTGAGAACTGTGACATTTAGTCACATCACCAAAAATGCTTCTCAGCATTATTGGTATTGATGCTTTAGTGTATTCCTCTGCTTGCATGTAAATTACTACCAAATTTCAGTTTAGATTTAGTCAGAGTAATTACAGGTACCATTATAATGCGTGGAATTTGGTTTTAAAAACTACAACAAAGTGTAGTGTTATTGCAGTTTCATAAGATAAAGTGGGTGGTGCTTGATTGATGTTCATGTGCAATATTTATGTCTTTATTTTATTTAGCTTGTTCTTTAGGTTCACATGCCCTCACCAAAGAGGTATGTTGGTAACATTAGTATGATCAGATAATTTCTGATTGTGATACAAGTAGTATTAAACTATTATATTGTTCAGCACACTATTCTCAAATTATCTTTTTCAACTTGTGTTTTCAGCAACTCGAATGTCTTTCCTGGAACAGAAATGGTGATGAATTCATGAGTGCTCATCAAGATGGTAGTTTCATTACCTGGAGCACATCTGACTCAGAAAAAACCAAAAGAACCAGCTACTACACCTTATGGTAATTCTTATAATGTGCATGCCTTTTTCACAAGATATTAAGTTCCTAGTTTAAAATAGGTCCACCACACACTCTTCCTTGACTGTGTCAAATTTGGATGATAAACAACAAATTCCAGCTGAGGCATTGGTGTTTTTAGATTGTTTACATATTTTCTTGATACAGCAATTATTGCTGGTTACAACAGTTGACAGTTGTGACACAGTCCAACTTGAGATTCTTAAGCAAGTCTAGAAGTAGATAAACAACAAATCAGTATTCAAGTATTGCTTAGAAATTGAAAAGATCGCAAACATGATCTCCAGGATGGTGCCTCAGTCTCATCAACCTTCATATCAGATCAAGGTGAAACAGTTTAAGGTTTTGGATTAATTGAAAAACAGTGAAAACGCTCATTTACAAATTCTTATCCTAAGTCATGCCATATGTCAAGGTCACTTTGTAAGTAATTTATTCATGACTTGTGAATAAGTAGAAAGTGTTTTCTATTTGTAACAGTTGCCAAGTTTTCAACATGTACATTATTACTATTTATCTACAATGCATGCTATTTTCTCTCCATCTTCAGTATCCATGAAAATAATAAAAAATTGCTCATTTTGTCCCATCCTAACTCGCAAATTGGGCTTGCCCTAAATCACAAACAAGTCATGATTTATGAATTCCCCAAGATGCTCTGCTTGTTTTGTGAATGGCTGTCTTTTTGTCCTCCAAGATTATCCTTTGTAATTGCATTGTCAGTTTCCAGTGTAGAAGATTGAGCTTTGCTGCATCATATTTTTATCCCCACGGCATATAATGCGGGGGGATATAGTCGTCGCCTCGTCCGTCTGTCCGTCCATCTGTCCTTAAGCATTTTGTTTCCGGATCATAACTCAAAGACCGTTCGATATTTTTCACCAAAAATTGGTAGATATGTCAAACATAACCTAAGGTGGTGCCTTTTGCTATTTACAGATTATTGTCATTTTTATTTTTCTCGGTTTCCATGGAAACGTTTTGGTCTTAGTCTTAAAGAGGGGTAGGCTTAGTTTCTGGAGAATAACTCAAAAACCGCTCAATATTTTTCAACAAGACTTGGTAGATATATCAAACAGAACCTTAAAAGGTGCCTTTTGCTATTTGCAGATTTTTGCATTTTTATTTTTCCCGGTTTCCATGGAAACAAATCGAATTTAGTCTCAAAAGGGAGGGGTGGGCTGCGTTTCCGGAGCACAACTCGAAAACTTCTTAATATCTTTCAGCAAAACTTGGCAGATATGTGAGGCAGATCCCAAAGTGGTGCCTTTTGCTATTTACAGACTTTTGTGATTATTATTTTCTCGGTTTCCATGGAAACGAATTTGGACTGTCTCAAGAGTGAGGGGTTGGCTTCGTTTCCCGGGGCATAACTCAAGAACCGTTCAATATTTTTCAACAAAATTTGGTAGATATATCAAACAGAACCTTAAGTGGTGCCTTTTGCTATTTGCAGATTTTTGTCTTTTTTATTTTAAGAGGTGGGGACACCCATTTGTTCTGGGAGGTAGGGGGGTAATCAATTTTGTACACGTTTCTAGGGGGGGTCAGCAATTTTGTACATAAAAATATTTAACAATTATGCTTTAAAAATATGGAAGGGGGGGGGTCATTGACTTTGTACATGGCATGCAGGGGGGTCACTTACTTTGTACATACATTTTAGGGGGGGGGGTCATTCACATTGTACATGCTTCTCCATAAAAATCATCATCACCCCCTAGCCATAAATTATGAACGGTCCCTTAGAGACTGGACGGTAGTTCCGTAAAACATCAGCATCCAGACTCGCTTTCTTTAGTAGAGGTGTGACTAGTGCTTCTTTGAGAGATTTCGGGAATATGCCTGTTGACATTGATTGATTGATGATCTTGGTGAGTACTGGTGTGATATGACTGATGCACAGTTTCAGCAGCCAAGTCGGAATCTGATCAGAAGAGCACGATTTTGTTGGACTTTGTTTAAGAATCTTCTTAATTTCCAAGTCGGTAGTGTGGTAGAAGGATGACAGCGTGTTTGGGGTGGTAGTCATTAATGTCTCATTTGTAGACATGTTGGCTGTTGGTACCTCCAGTTCATATTGAATCTTTGAACTGAAGAAGGCTTAATTTCCTCATAATTGCCTGTAGCCAGAGGGATGGTGTAAATCCAATGGGGGACCCATAATCTGTTGAATTTTATCTCTTATGTGTTCGTTCCCAGGTTGAAACTAACAAGTTAACTGGTAGTCAGTCCGTAAAAGAATTAGATTTGAAACCAACCATCAACAATGAATCTGCTGTAATTAACATTTGTATTCTAATAAAATAACTAAGATCACAAATCAATAGAGAGGTATCACTGTGGCAGTACAAAATTTGGTGGCAGAACAAATTCAGAGGTAATATAGTACAATAAAGACACTTATGGTAATATTCACCTGCCAGCAACAGTAATTCAACTTCAGTAACCACAGATGTCATGTGAGGTGAAAGGCAAAAGTTAGCTCCCTTTTTAGAAAGAGAAAGCTGCCAGATCTTGCTTTTATGTTCACTGCATCAGGGGAGGGTTGCAGTACATTCAAGAACTCTGTCTGCAGTATCTAAATATGGAACACTCCACTATTCACTACTGAATGTCAACAGGTTTAATGTATTACACATGGAACATTGTATCACAATGAGTAACACTTCCACACAACAGCCTAAAATCACACTATTGCTCAGGTAAGCTTCTGGGCTGCGACACTATTTTTTAGAGTATTGCAAGACATGCCTACTATTCCTAAAGTACATTTGGTTGATTTGCCTAATTATGATTTCAGGTCCATTTCCATGCAAAGCCATCAACAGACTTCAGTGGAAAACAGCAAAGTCGTAAGTTCTTGACACAATGTGCCTCCAGGTATTTCTGCTAAGTTGGTGGGGCTGTAGGGTAGCCTAGTGGTTAAAGCGTTCGCTTGTCACACCGAAGACCCGGGTTCGATTCCCCACATGGGTACAATGTGTGAAGCCCATTTTTATCCCACCGGCATATTATGCGGTGGGATATAGTCGTCGCCTCGTCCGTCTGTCCGTCTGTCCGTCCGTCCGTCCGTCCGTCCGTCCGTAATCATTTTGTTTCCGGACCATAACTCAAAGACCGTTCGATATTTTTTAACCAAAATTGGTAGATATGTCAAAAATAACCTAAGGTGGTGCCTTTTGCTATTTACAGATAATTGTCATTTTTATTTTTTCGGTTTCCATGGAAGCGTTTTGGACTTAGTCTTAAAGAAGGGTGGAGCCGTTTCGAGACATAACTCAAGAACCATTCAATATTTTTTCAACAAAACTTGGTAGATATATCAAACAGATCCGAAAGTTGTGCCTTTTGCTATTTACAGATTTTTGCATTTTATTTTTCCGGTTTCCATGGAAACAATTAGGACTTAGTCCCAAAAAGTGAGGGGTGGGCCGTTTCGAGACATAACTCAAGAACCGTTCAATATTTTTCAACAAAAGTTGGTAGATATATCAAACAGAACCATGAGGGGTGCCTTTTGGTATTTGCAGATTTTGTCATTTTATTTTTCGGTTTCCATGGAAACATTTTGGACTTAGTCTCAAAAAGTAAAGGATTGCTTTTCGTTTCGGAGCATAACTCAAGAACCATTCAATATTTTTCAACAAAACTTGGTAGATATATCAAACAGATCGAAAGTTGTGCCTTTTGCTATTTACAGATTTTTGGCATTTTTATTTTTCCGGTTTCCATGGAAACAATTAGGACTAGTCCCAAAAGTGAGGTAAATTGGGCTTAGTTTTCGAACATAACTCAAGAATCAACAAAACTTGGTAGATATATCAAACTAGATCCGAAAGTTGTGCCTTTTGCTATTTACAGATTTTTGGCGTTTTATTTTCCGGTTTCCATGGAAACAATTGGGACTTAGTCCCAAAAGTGAGGGTGCCGTTTCCGGAGCATAACTCAGAACCGTTTAATATTTTTCAACAAAACTTGGTAGATGTATGAAACAGAACCTTAAGTGGTGCCTTTTGCTATTTGCAGATTTTTGGCATTTTATTTTTCTTGGTTTCCATGGAAACATTTTGGACTTAGTCTCAAAGTAAGGAGTTGCTTTCCGTTTCGGAGCACAACTCAAAAACCGTATAATATTTTTCAACAAAACTTGGTAGATATATCAAACAGATCCCTAAAGTTGTGCCTTTTGCTATTTGCAGATTTTTGGCATTTTATTTTTTCCGGTTTCCATGGAAGCGATTCGGACTTAAATCCCAAAAGTGTAGGGTGGGCGTTTCGGGCAAGCTCAAGAACCGTTTAATATTTTCAACAAAACTTGGTAGATGTATGAAACAGAACCTTAAGTGGTGCCTTTTGCTATTTGCATAAGATTTTGGCATTTTATTTTTCTTGGTTTCCATGGAAACATTTTGGACTTAGTCTCAAAAAGTAAGGATTGCTTTCGTTTCGAACACAACTCAAAAACCGTATAATATTTTTCAACAAAACTTGGTAGATATATCAAACAGATCCTAAAGTTGTGCCTTTTGCTATTTGCAGATTTTTGGCATTTTATTTTTTCGGTTTCCATGGAAGCGATTCCGGACTTAATCCCAAAAGTGAGGGGTGGGCTTCGTTTCGGAGCACAACTCAAAAACCTCTCTATATATTTCAGCAAAACTTGGCAGATATGTGAGAGGCAGATCTTGAAGTGGTGCCTTTTGCTATTTGCAGATATTTGTGATTTATTATTTTCTCGGTTTCCATGGAAATGATTAGGACTTAGTCTCAAAAGGAAGGGATGGGTTTTAGGTTTCGAGGAACACAACTGGAAAACTTCTTAATATCTTTCAAGCAAAACTTGGCAGATATGCCTTTGCTATTTCAGGCAGATGTCCAAAAGGAAAGTGTTTCGAACACAACTGGCCTTAATATCTTTCAGCAAAACTTGGCAGATATATGTTGCAGATGCCAAAAAGTGGTGCCTTTGCTATTGCAGATATTTGATTTATTATTTTCTCAGTTTCCATGAAAACAATTTGGACTTAGTCTCAAAAGGGAGGGTAGGTTTTGTTTCGAACACAAGCCGAAAACTTCTTAATATCTTTCAGCAAAACTTGGCAGATATGTGAGGCAGATCCCAAAGTGGTGCCTTTTGCTATTTGCAGATTTTTGTCATTTATTTTTTTTCAAGGTTTCCATGGAAACGATTTGCACTTAGTCTAAAATCAAGCTGGACTTTAAGTAACTGTCAGATGATTTGTTCTTTCAAAGATATGGGGGCCGGGGGGATATGTCATCTTCTGATGACTCTTGTTGATGTTTCTCCTCCTCCCTTCTCTCTCCCTCTCCCGCTTTCCCTCTCCCTCTCTCCCTCTCTCCCTCTCCCTCCCTCCCCCAGATACAACATATTGCATTTGACTACTTTCTGAAAAGCATTGTGCATTCTCTGGTGACTTTTGATTATTAAGAATTTTTTTTTTTTTTAAATAAACCTTGTAGTTTTCATAGTGATAGTTGGACATGAAAAGGAATGTAGGGCTTATTCTGAAATAAAACTCCAAGACTATTGAATATTTCTTGATGAAGCATGTCATATAAAACAGCCTACTGGTCAACAGGTACCTTTTGATTGTTTGGGATAGTGATAAATACTGCACAGCATTATTGTATTCTTCACTGAACTGAAGGTATTCAGGGTCTGTGAACCAAAAGTGGGCTATAAGTAGCCAAACTTGATTTTTGAATTGTGCCAGGCAGAAGGGATATTTTCTGATGTTTTAGTTTTCGCTATGGCATAATTTCTCATTGTTAAACCAGTTTCTGCACAGGAAAGGTAAAGCTTTCAGATAACAACCTTTGGGTAATGCTACTGTAATGAAGTATCTCTTATTAATGACAGTAATTTATGTCATTGCAATGAAATGCATGTTGCAGAGACCCTTTCATCATCTTTGCTGGTGGCATGCCCCGTGCCAGTTATGGAGACCGCCATACTCTCAGTGTCATGCAAGGAGAAAACCATGTTGTGTTCGATTTCACCTCAAGAGTTGTGGATTTTATTGTTATGTCTCGTGCAGACCAATGTGATGCCACAGATGACAGAACAGGTAAGCATTGGGACTTTGCCTTTTCTAAATGAGAATGAACATTGATACATTGACCTCCTTGAAAAGCCAGTCTGTTTTGATGTTGATATTTAATTGTGTACAGTATTTTATTATTCGCCCATTCAAGATATCACTGTTTAATAAATCTCCAATGTTATTACACATTGATACATATGTCATCGGTGCCATGATTCGTAAAAAGTCATTTCACAAAAGACCCATCCAGTTCTGGCGAATAAGCCCCACCCTCTAGCTCTCGTCTTCATTTTTGACATTAGTGAGGAACCACTGGATGATGACAGTGGCATCACTGCCATACAAATTTAATTGCTCAAGTGATGCATTTTGCTTGTGGTACTTAATAACCTGTCATTTGTGACAATGTTAAAGAGGAAAGTTATACATATCTTGATTCCACTTATAGTTCAGTTGTTAGATTGGACATGGCTGAGGAAAATGAGTTACATGTCCAATGTAAAATCGAATCAGTGAGCTGATGAGAGTGTGAAGCATGTTTTTTTTGTTGTCAGGCAAGGCATGGATGTGTCAAATATATGGTTGGCAGACAATAGGCCCACTCAGACAAAAAGCCCTCGGACAAAAAAAAACCCTAGGCAAAATACCCCCATGACAAAAAAGGATAAAACACCCTTTGTGTTGATCTTGAGTTGACAGGTGATAACATGATGTTTTCTAAGCAATTCCACCCACTGCTGACAGTTGTTACAGGTAAGCAGCATATGTGAAAACCATATGCACCCAGGCCCCTCAGTGACGATGTTGTTATTTTAACAATGGAATGAAGCCTGCTAAATGTTGTTTCAGAGAATTGGCTTAAATTGGTCACTTGCTCCTATGTTTGATTTTATTGGACAGGGCAGTGAGCATGGTGTTTATTAGATGGTCTTTTAAATGTTGTTACAGAGACACTTTAAAATGTTAAAAATGTTAAAATTTATATTATATTATTTTTATCCCACCGGCATATAATGCGGTGGGATATAGTCGTCGCCTCCAGTCCGTCCGTCCGTAATCATTTTGTTTCCGGACCATAACTCAAAGACCGTTTGATATTTTTTAACCAAAATTGGTAGATATGTCAAAAATAACCTAAGGTGGTGCCTTTTGCTATTTACAGATAATTGTCATTTTTATTTTTCTCGGTTTCCATGGAAACGTTTTGGACTTAGTCTTAAAGAAGGGTGGGCTTCGTTTCCGGAGCATAACTCAAGAACCATTCAATATTTTTCAACAAAACTTGGTAGATATATCAAACAGATCCTAAAGTGGTGCCTTTTGCATTTCACAGATTTTTGGCATTTTTATTTTTCCCGGTTTCCATGGAAACGATTCGGACTTAGTCCCAAAAGTGAGGGGTGGGCTTTGTTTCCAGAGCATAACTCAAGAACCGTTCAATATTTTTCAACAAAACTTGGTAGATGTATGAAACAGAACCTTAAGTGGTGCCTTTTGCTGTTTGCCGATTTTTGGCATTTTTATTTTTCTTGGTTTCCATGGAAACATTTTGGACTTAGTCTCAAAAAGTAAGGATTGCTTTCGTTTCCGGAGCACAACTCAAAAACCGTATAATATTTTTCAACAAAACTTGATAGATATATCAAACAGATCCTAAAGTTGTGCCTTTTGCTATTTGCAGATTTTTGGCATTTTTATTTTTCCCGGTTTCCATGGAAACAATTCAGACTTAATCCCAAAAGTGAGGGGTGGGCTTCGTTTCCGGAGCACAACTCGAAAACTTCTTAATATCTTTCAGCAAAACTTGGCAGATATGTGAGGCAGATCCCAAAGTGGTGCCTTTTGCTATTAGCAGATTTTTGTCATTTATTTTTTTCATGATTTCCATGGAAACGATTTGCACTTAGTCTAAAATCAAGCTGGACTTTAAGTAAATGTCAGATGATTTGTTCTTTCAAAGATGTGGGGGCCGGGGGGATATGTCATCTTCTGATGACTCTTGTTTTAATAATATATTCTTGTGAGAATAAATTCATTTGCTTCAAAACGATTGGTTGGTATTCTATTACATCTTTTCATTGAGGGCCTTTTTATCCCACCGGCATATAATGCGGTGGGATATAGTCGTCGCCTCGTCCATCCGTCTGTCCGTCCGTAATCATTTTGTTTCCGGACCATAACTCAAAGACCGTTCGATATTTTTTAACCAAAATTGGTAGATATGTCAAACATAACCTAAGGTGGTGCCTTTTGCTATTTACAGATAATTGTCATTTTTATTTTTCTCGGTTTCCATGGAAACGTTTTGGACTTAGTCTTAAAGAAGGGTGGGCTTCGTTTCCGGAGCATAACTCAAGAACCGTTCAATATTTTTCAACAAAAGTTGGTAGATATATCAAACAGAACCATGAGTGGTGCCTTTTGGTATTTGCAGATTTTTGTCATTTTTATTTTTCCCGGTTTCCATGGAAACATTTTGGACTTAGTCTCAAAAAGTAAGGATTGCTTTCGTTTCCGGAGCATAACTCAAGAACCATTCAATATTTTTCAACAAAACTTGGTAGATATATCAAACAGATCCTAAAGTTGTGCCTTTTGCTATTTGCAGATTTTTGGCATTTTATTTTTCCGGTTTCCATGGAAGCGATTAGGACTTAGTCCCAAAAGTGAGGGGTGGAGCCGTTTCGGGCATAACTCAAGAACCGTTTAATATTTTTCAACAAGACTTGGTAGATATATCAAACAGAACCTTAAGTGGTGCCTTTTGCTATTTGCAGATTTTTGGTATTTTTATTTTTCTCGGTTTCCATGGAAACGATTCGGACTTAATCCCAAAAGTGAGGGGTGGGCTTCGTTTCCGGAGCATAACTCAAGAACCGTTCAATATTTTTCTACAAAACTTGGTAGATGTATGAAACAGAACCTTAAGTGGTGCCTTTTGCTATTTGCAGATTTTTGGCATTTTTATTTTTCCCAGTTTCCATGGAAACATTTTGGACTTACTCTCAAAAAGTAAGGATTGCTTTCGTTTCCGGAGCACAACTCAAAAACCGTATAATATTTTTCAACAAAACTTGGTAGATATATCAAACAGATCCTAAAGTTGTGCCTTTTGCTATTTGCAGATTTTTGGCATTTTATTTTTCCGGTTTCCATGGAAGCGATTCGGACTTAATCCCAAAAGTGAGGGGTAGGCTTCGTTTCCGGAGCACAACTCAAAAAACTCTCTATATCTTTCAGCAAAACTTGGCAGATATGTGAGGCAGATCCCAAAGTGGTGCCTTTTGCTATTTGCAGATATTTGTGATTTATTATTTTCTCGGTTTCCATGGAAATGATTCGGACTTAGTCTCAAAAAGGAAGGGATGGGTTTCGTTTCCGGAACACAACTGGAAAACTTCTGAATATCTTTCAGCAAAACTTGGCAGATATGTGAGGCAGATGCCAAAGTGGTGCCTTTTGCTATTTGCAGATATTTGTGATTTATTATTTTCTCAGTTTCCATGGAAACAATTTGGACTTAGTCTCAAAAGGGAGGGGTAGGTTTTGTTTCGAACTGCTCGAAAACTTCTTAATATCTTTCAGCAAAACTTGGCAGATATGTGAGGCAGATCCCAAAGTGGTGCCTTTTGCTATTTGCAGATTTTTGTCATTTATTTTTTTCATGATTTCCATGGAAACGATTTGCACTTAGTCTAAAATCAAGCTGGACTTTAAGTAACTGTCAGATGATTTGTTCTTTCAAAGATGTGGGGGCCGGGGGGATATGTCATCTTCTGATGACTCTTGTTTCCTACCCCTGAAGGTTTTGTCATTGGGGCATTTAGCCTAGGGGTGTTTTGTCTGGGGGCTTTTTGTCTGAGTGGGCCTATTATCCTACCACCCAAAAACATTCAGACAGGGGAAGGGTAACTGAATTTATTTATTTTTATCCCACCGGCATATAATGCAGATTTTTGTCATTTTTATTTTTCCCGGTTTCCATGGAAACGATTCGGACTTAGTCCCAAAAGTGAGGGGTGGGCTTCGTTTCCGGAGCATAACTCAAGAACCGTTCAATATTTTTCAACAAGACTTGGTAGATATATCAAACAGAACCTTAAGTGGTGCCTTTTGCTATTTGCCGATTTTTGGCATTTTATTTTTCCCAGTTTCCATGGAAACGTTTTGGATTTAGTCCCAAAAGTGAGGGTGGGAAGCGTTTCGGAGCATAACTCAAGAACCGTTCAATATTTTTCAACAAAACTTGGTAGATGTATCAAACAGAACCTTAAGTGGTGCCTTTTGCATTTCACAGATTTTTGTCATTTTTATTTTTCTTGGTTTCCATGGAAACATTTTGGACTTAGTCTCAAAAAGTAAGGATTGCTTTCGTTTCCAGAGCATAACTCAAAAACCGTATAATATTTTTCAACAAAACTTGATAGATATATCAAACAGATCCTAAAGTTGTGCCTTTTGCTATTTGCAGATTTTTGGCATTTTTATTTTTCCCGGTTTCCATGGAAACGATTCGGACTTAATCCCAAAAGGGAGGGGTGGGCTTCGTTTCCGGAGCACAACTCAAAAACCTCTCTATATCTTTCAGCAAAACTTGGCAGATATGTGAGGCAGATCCCAAAGTGGTGCCTTTTGCTATTTGCAGATTTTTGTCATTTATTTTTTTCATGATTTCCATGGAAACGATTTGCACTTAGTCTAAAATCAAGCTGGACTTTAAGTAACTGTCAGATGATTTGTTCTTTCTTGTTTTAATAAATATTCTTGTGAGGGCTTCAAAGCGATTGGTATTACATCTTTTCATTGAGGGATATGTCATCTTCTGATGACTCAGACAGGGAAGGGTTGTTAAAAATACCCATGATTTTATGGAAGCCATGAACACAAACAGGTGTGCAAGTTGCAGAGCATGTTATCTATAAATAGATTGACATATAAATAATTATATGTATCTTTCTGAGGATCAAGAACAAGGTTCCAATCACCTGCTAGTATGTAAAGATCATAAAGTTCTTTATTTTATG